AATGAAAGATCGAAAATTGCTTTTTGCACTCTATAGTCTTCACGTTGAATCTTTTTTGTTGCATCTTCAATGGTCATTGTGATCTTGCTATTCTTTGTAAGACTTTCTGAATAACAATATCCTTTATAAAAACTACATAATTGATATATTTCATAATCGATATGTTTAACTAAATATTTTAAATCATAATCTTGATTATTTAAATATAAACGTATTCTTGATAAAAAATAAACTTGCTTTTCTCCTTGGCTTAATTTATTAAACTCACTTGGGTTTATTAAGTTAATATTTGATGTGGGATTTGGAGTTGCATTTTGAACCTGTAAAAAATTTAATAAAAATGAGGAAAAAAATTAATAAAATATTTTTTAAAAAAAAAATTAAAAATTAAAAATAATTTCGTTTAACCATTTATACATTTTCACTATTACTGTTATCATTGTTTATATTGATGTTGTTTTTTAAATTTGCATTTCCAAAAACTTTATAAATATTTATGAATATAAAAATTAATAAAATAAATAGTTTCATTTTTTATATAAATATATATAGTTAATAAATAAAAAAGATATATAAAAAAAGATACAAATAATAATTATAATTATATACTAATTTTTTTATTTATCTCATTAGTGTCAGATCTTTTATATTTTTATTTTGAATTTTTTTTTTCTTTTTTAATATTCTTAATAATTTTATTTTTTTCCTTATATATAATTATTTCATACCATAAAATAATTATTAATTTTACTATTTATATATATTTTAATTAATATCTTCAAAAAATAGATTTTAACTATTATGGGGGTGGTTGTGTTACACAGTACAATAATAAAAAAATTGTATATGTGGGTGGATGGGTGCTCGTGTTTAAGGTGTGTATTTCTGGATATGGTTAATTTGGTTTTTAAAGATTTAATAGATGTAATGGTGGTGAAAAAGAGGAATATATATAGAATTTGAATTTAAAAAAAACGACATCAATTAGCTATTTCAGTTTTTTTTTTATGTATAAAAATATGAAAACATATGAGGTTTTTTAAAAAGGAAATAAATTAAATGAAATAATAAAAATAGAAAATAAATAAATTTCTATTAAATTTTATTTTTTTTAAATTAAACTAAAATAATGTTTTAAATAAATTTATAAAAATATGATTGAGGAATGGGATATTTTTATGATTTAATTGCTGGTGATGTATTTTGTTTGAATTGAATATTTTTATCATTGGTGTTTTTGCTTTGAGTTACAATATCAAGGAAATCGAGGAATTGACCTAAATAATCGGGTTTATCAGTTGGCATATTATTTGATTGTTTTGCTTTGTCGGCTTCAGCTTGTTTAGCTTTTTCGGCTTCGGCTTGTTTAGCTTTTTCGGCTTCAGCGGCTTGCTTTGCTTTTTCAGCTTCAGCGGCTTGTTTTGCTTTTTCAGCTTCAGCGGCTTGTTTTGCTTTTTCAGCAGCTTCGGCAGCTTGTTGTGCTTTTTCAGCGGCTTGTTTAGCTTTTTCAACTTCAGCAGCAAGTCTTGCTTTTTCGGCAGTTTCAGCAGCAAGTTTTGCTCTTAATTCTTCTTCAATCTTGTTTTTTAAAGAATCCCTAGCTTTTTGCTCTTGCTCTTGTTTGGCTTTTAATTCAGCAGCTTCCTTTTCTTTTTGTTCTTGCTCTTTTTTAGCTTTTAATTCAGCAGCTTCCTTTTCTTTTTTTTCTCTTTCTTGTTTTTCTTTTAATTCAGCAGCTTCCTTTTCTTTTTTCTTTAACTTTTCATCATGCTTTAATTTACGTTCAGCTTCTTTTTTTTCAGCCTCTTTTTTAGCAGCTTCTTTTGCTTCAGCTTCTAGTTTGGCTTTTTGAATTAGTTGTTGTGCTGCAGCTAATTGAGCATTGGCATTGTTTTGAATGTTTTGAATATCCATTGCTCCTTGTCCGTTTCCTGTTACACCATCAGCTGTAGTTGGACCAGATAATAAACTAAATTGAATAAATAACTTTTGTAATTTTTGGCTTGATTCAGGTGAGATTTTAAAAAAATCATTATTTGTATTTGAATTTAAACTCTCTTGAATTGCTTGATTGAGTTCATTTGCTTTGCTCTTCAAAAGAGTTTTAGCATATAACATGAATGCATCGGGTAATCTACCATTATATAACAAACAGTTTTCTGGATAGTAACTACATGCATAATTAATTACACTGATTAACTGATGTTGGTTTAAATTATATTGATTAGAATATTCTTTAATTTGATCAACTATACTGTTAACATCAAACTTTTTATTTTCCCTTTGCACCTATATTATTTTAAAAATTATTAATATTATAATCATGATAATTATTAATAAAAATATTAAAAAAAATTTTAAAAAAAAATTGTATTTACATTTTCTCCACTTGTAAAGCTTATTGCAATTAAAAAAACTGTTATTAAAAGTGAAATATTTTTTAGTAGCATTTTATAAATAAAATAGTATCTAGTAAACAAATCTAATATAATAACAATAAAAAAAAAATAGAAAATTTTTTTTTTTTAAATATTTTTTTTTTTTTTTACACAATAATTAAATTAAAAATCAACTTAAAATATATTTTATAGTATAAATATATATATTTATATTAATAATAATTAATAATTATACACTTTTATTTTATTATTATTATTTTTTTAATTAAATTAAATTTGTTTTGGAAAAATAAATCATCTTTTAATGTATTTATATGATCAATGTAATTTAATTTAAAATATTAAAAAAAAATAATGTGTGAAAGAGAGATATACATATAAAATTAAAAAAAAATTACGATTAATATGTGCATATTTATTCAATTTTTTAATAATTTTCATACACTCATACCAAAAATTATTTTTATATACCCATTAAGAACTATTGAGATAGAACACAAGGATAGACTTTTTATAGGCGTGTGTGTGAATGTATATATATATAAGTATGGAAATTATTTTAATTTCAAATATTTATAAATTCAATTAATTAAAAAAAATCATTAACTTTAAAAAACACAGTGTTGTGTGGGTGTTATCAGTGTGTGAGTTTTTTTAAAGGGGTGTGAATTTGGGTGGTTGTGTTTTTTGTGCAAATAAAGGTAAAAAAAATTAAAAATAAACTCAATGGGGGTAATAAATATTTAAAAATAATAATAAAAATAATGATAGTAAAAAAATTATAATTTATTTTAATAAATCATTGAATTTTTTAAAAAATATTTTTGTATATCTCGTATTATATAAAGATATATACTTTAAAAAATTTTAAAATAAACTGAAAAATATAATAGAACCTTTTAATTATTATTTTGAAAATTTTTTAATGAAAATATTAAGAATATTAATATAATGCAATAGCAGGAATAAATACATATTGAAAAATATAAAGAAAGTTTCTTTATTAATAAATATTGGTTTTTACTTTATTTATGATATAATAAAAACAATGAATTTTGTTGTTTAAAATTAAAATTATAATAATTTGGGTAGTGAAATACCTGTTAATTGAATACCGCCTTTGGGTGCTGGGAGGTTTTCGGCAATGTCTCTGTAACATTGGGCCTCTAAAAGAATACCAGCAGAGTCAATGATAAAACTAATTGCACTACCAATGAATGGAATTTTACAGACAAAAAGACTATTGCATAAAAGTTTTACCAACTGTTCAAATTTGATGACATCAAACCCATTCTCTGATAAATAATCTCTGACTTTATCTAAAAAGAATCCTAAAACTCTATCATTTTCTAAAAGTTGAAGTTGTGTATAGTGCTTTCCTTTTGTAATGTTGTATATGATTTGTCTATCCCTATCTAAAGATATATTAAAACTATTTAATAATACTTGATAGTCATTATTATCAAAAATTGGTAGTAGTTCATTTTCTTTGAATAAATCGTCTTGAACAAAATTATTTTCATCCCTAAATTCCTAAACAATATGAAAAATTAATACTAAATATTAATTATTTTATTTTCAAATAAAATTTATATAAATTACCATTCCATAGGTTATTAAAATTATTTGAAGAATTAAAAAAACTATAAATATTGTTGTTTTCATGATTGCTGTTATTGTAGCTGTTGTACTTTATTTTTAAAAAAGATAAAATTTCTTTAAAAAAAAATAAATATATTTTTAATTTGAATTATTTTATAAAAAAAAAAAACATTAATAAATAAATAATAAATATATTCTTTATATTATATTTTATAATTAAAATAATTACCAAATTAATACCACGTGACTAATAAGGGATTTTTAATGATTCTGAAATTTAAAAATTACAAAAGAAAAAACAAATCTACCCCCCCTAATTTCATTTTCATTTCCTATTTATTATATATTCAATCTATAACATTAATATATGGTGTCTAATAATACTACCTATTGCTATTTTAATATAATTATTTTATAAAGTTTTTTTTTTTTTTTTTTTTTTTTTTTTTTTAGTTTTATTTTATTTATTTTTTAATAGAAAATAGTTTGTTTTGTATAGTGTCTTTCTACGTTTCTAAATGATTCGTCTTTTCCTTTGGTCCAAAGATAATAATCTAATTCGAGTGAGTTTTTAATAAAATTATCTGGTCTGGTTTTGGACATTTCAACAATTTCGATTGAAGCTTGAATTGCTTGGACTCTAAGTTCAACTTCATCATTACCAGGTAAAAGTTCACCACCATTATCTAACTTTTCTTCTAATTCTTTTGAAAGTTTTAAAATACCAAACTGTGCAATGGTAACAATAAAAAATTGGTTAATAAACAAAATAAGTTATAAAATAATTTGTCTAAAATAATAATAAAAATAATTACCTTTCTTAAAACAGCTGGTAAAACATTATCGGTAAATACAGTAATTTGGTCAATATCGGTAAAGTTAAAACGTGCAGATTCGCTATCTTTGAAACGACGGTTAAGATCAGCAGCCAATAATTGAGCTTTTTTAAAGATGAAAACATTATGGTCTTTGTATTTAACTTGGTCATTGAAGGCTGGGATTTTGGTTACCAATTCTTTGACAAAGTTTGAAGCTAAACAGCCACCTTTTTGAGCAGTTTTAACTGGATCAGTTATTTTCCAAACAAAATCAGCAAAACTATCAAAACCTAATTCCAACATTACTTCAGAGCTTTCTTTTAAAACTTGTTGAATTTTAAGTGCTAATGGTTTTAATGGAGTATCACGACAGGTATAAATTCCTGGTTGCATTTCGTACTCTTCAATTATTGGGATACTAAAGAATGATGATATTTCGTTCAATGATAATTTATTTAAGAAATTGGCTGATAAATTACCACTTTGGGAAAGATACATTCCAAATAAACCATAACATATAGTTTCATATGCTCCTCTTTTTGATGCCTCGTGTAACTCTTTTCTAAATCCACTGCCAAAATTAATTAAATCTAAAATAAACCAAAAATTAACTTCATGTTTAGGAGTTGAAAAATTTAATGGGAATATAACAGTTGATGATTTTGAATCATATTCGTCTTTAAAAAAAAAAAAAAAAAATTCAAAATATTAGTATTAATAATAATGAAAACAATAGTTTATTATTAATCAACACTATAAATACCTTTTTTTAAATTTGTTAAAAATTCATTTATTGCAATTGGATCAATTTTGACATTATCTGCATGTTCGCTGACCCATTTGGCAGATTCACGGACTTGTTGAAGTGGATTATCTGATACCATTTTGTTTGTTTGTTTGTTTATTGATTTATTTGCTTAATTATTTGTAATTAAAAAGTTTGAACTTTTTTTTTTTTTCATATTTCAAATTTATAAAAAAAAATAAAATTTTTTTAAATTAAAAAAAAAAAAAAAATTGGACAAAATGAGAAAAAGTAAAGATTAATGATTAATTGGTTGCAACCATTTCGTATTTTAAACATAAAGTTACGAGTTTTTTAAATCCATTGCTTATTTTAATTAATCTGATCAATTAAAGAAATTATATATAAATAAAAAAAATAATCATTAATATAAAAAAAAAAAAATTAAAAAAATTAAAAATTAAATAAAAAAAATATTTTTTTTTGAAATTTTTTTAAAAATTTTTTTTTTTTTTTTTTAATATATTTTTTATTTTTTTTTTTCATATTAAAAACAACCACACAAACGAATAAGCGATAGCTATATACATACACCACACATAAAAGATATTTAAATAGAGTAAAGATAAAATTGCTTGTATTTTTAAAAAAGACAATATAAATTAAATAGATATTATTTTACATTACAACTATCATTTAATAAATAAATAAAAAAAAAAAAAAAAAAACTTTTATATATTCTCAATTGTATAATAATAATACTGATACACATAAAAACTATACCAATATAATAGTAGTAGTAATAATAACAATTAGAAATGGAAAATAATGGAAATAATCAAAAGCCACAATCATTGGTTATTGGTTTAAATAAAAATAATAGTACAAATATATCTGATAATGAAAATAAAAACAATAATGCATCAAATAATGCTACCACAACATTTAAATCAGCAGTTCCCTCACAAAGGCCACGTACAACATCACCACTAGGTTCAAAAACTGTTACATTTCAAAATAACACAAATAATATAAATAATACAAATAATATAGATAATGAGCCACCACCACAACAAACAACAAATATTGATAGTAATAAAGATAATCCAAATCAAATGGAAAATAACAAAGAAGAACCAAATATAAATAGTTTAAATAATAGTAATAATAATGTTAATGTTAATGTTAATAATAATAATAATAATAATAATGTTAATGTTAATAATAATAATGTAAATAATATAGTGTATAATATTCAAAAACAAAGTTTTAATAAATTAAATGGTAGTGGATCATTAGAGATTTTCCAATTTGACGAAGAGTGCGAAGACGAAATTAATGAAGAGTATCAACAACAGCAACAACAACAACAGCAACAACAATATCAAACAGGATCTGCAGCAGAAGAACCAAAGTATGTGGAAGATGATGATCAAGATGACGAGGATGACCAAATAATTACTGTCGAAGGTGGAAATAGATCAAGAAGTAACGGTCTTATGCAAGAAATGATTTTGGGTACCAGTTTACCGGTCTGTATCCCATCCCGTGTATCTCAAAGTTTAAATACATTTACTCAACAACAACAGTCTGGTGTTGTTTTCCCCACAAACACAACCAACACTGTTAATACCAGCAGTAGTAGCACCAATCACCATAATATCTCGCATAGCTCTACCTATAATGAAAAGAAGAAATATGTCACACCAAGAGAAAGCTGGGTTGATATTTTAAAAGAAAAAGAAGAAATGGAGTCATCATTCGAAATTTCTCAATCATTAAAAAAGAAAAATTCTAGATATTATATATAGTTTCTGAATATTCATAATTAAAATAAAATTACAAATAAAATTACAAATAAAAAAAAATAAAAAATAAAAAAACAATAATAATAATAATATTAACTATAATCAATTTTAAAAACAATCTTTATATATATATATTTTATTTATAAAAAAACCATTCAATTTCTTTGCTTAGAAAATAAAGAACGAGAATTAACTCGATCCTTTGTTTTGAAGAGTAAAAAATAATTTTTAAAATAAAAATTAATTTGCATATGTATTAATTTTCAAAACTCCTCCCCAATTTTTAAGAATTATTTTTTTTTTCCTTCGGGTCCATCAAATTATAAAAACAAAATAACTGTATATAAAGAATTTTTTCCAATATTTTTGAATAGAAAGAAAAATTATTTTTATCTTTATTTTATAGAAATAGTTTCTTTAAAACTAAATTTTTTTTATTTTTTTTTTTAAAATCCAAAAAACAATTTTTCTTAATCCAAGATTTGTTTATTAGAATAAAATAAAAATAAATAAATAAATAAATAAAATAAAAAAAACTATTTACATTTTATTTTATTAGACATTTTGGTCAACTGAATCAGATTCGACAGTTTCGCTAGCTCCGTTTTGTTGTATATTTTCATTCATTTCTATTTCAATGTTGTTATTATTATTTTCGTTATTATCATCATCACTAGTGGTGTTGTTGTTGTTGTTGTTTCTGGTATTGATAAAAACCATTGGTTCGGTTTCATTTTCAGTGGTTACATTACTATTTTCATTACTGCTATTATCATTATTACTACTATTACTTGAGTGGTCATGGTGATTAATGATCTCATCATTACTACTATTTAAATTATCGTTATTGTTGTGTTGGTTGTGAAAACTATTGTCTAAATTATTGGTTGGTGGGGTAGATGGAGTGAAGCTGGAGGAGAAATTTGGTTCTTTAATTTCCTTAGAGAATCTTGAATCTCTTGGTGAGTTTCTGGGGGAGGCATTGGGTGAGGAGTTGTGTTGTTTATAATATGAAACTGATTCTGATCTTGTTTTAGTGATGTTTGATTTCTTTTTACTTTTTTCACTATCTGAATTATTACCATTGAATACTTCTTTAGGCTTCATAATGTATAATAATTCAATTGTTAATATTGCTTCAATACCGTGCACAACTGAAACATTAGTTAACATACCACGAGGTGAATTGTAAAAACCTAAAAAAAAGAATAAAATTGGGGGCAAGATGGAAATGAATAAACTAACAGATACACAAATTGTAATAATGGTAAGCTATATAAAAAATAAATTTTTATTAATATTTATTTTAAAAATTAAAATAAATGATGAACACTTACTCTTTTAACAGTAGCTGATTTTTCTTTTTCTGAAGTTGGTAGCAATCTTATTTTTTTAATTAATAATGAACCATAGATTGAAAAACAAATAAGGGTTGAAAAACATGCTACACCAACCCAAGCATTGTAGGCATTATTATAAACACTTCCTTTATCTTTACCAATTGCACCGAGTATGATACGAATGATTTCAAAGATAAACCAAATTATATTTATAAATATAAAGATTGGAATAGCCTTTAATAAGGTTCTTTTTTGAATGGGACCGTCGATTCCCTTTGGTTTTAATTTATATGATATTACACTATATGTATAACACCAATAAATTAACAATATAATATATGCAGTAAATACAAAATATATTGGAAAATTATATAAAATTTCGCTAGTTGCTCTTGAAACATAATTACGGTATCCCCATGGATCGGTAATAAAATAAATAATTCTTACTGTAAATGTAAAGGTAAATGTTAATAATAGATATTGATAGTTTAAAATTTTATAAAAATACATACATAATTCAAATATTAAAACCACAATATGATTCATAAATTTCAATCTATATACTAATTTTCCAGATTTCCAGAAAAAAAATGATTTATATGCTTGAAAAATGGTGATTCCCGCTAAAACTACAAAAATTGCTAAAAATATAAATCTAAATGCTTTATAGGAACCGCCCAAAGAAACTTCGTAATGGGTTTCGCATTCACCGCCCGTATATAAACCGATACATTTGCACAATCCATTTGTACATGTCCCATGACCACTACAATCACTGCTTGTTCCATTACAATTTACAAAATTTAAATTAATATTATCCGTATCATTAATTGTCTCTAATAAATTATACATTATTTAATATTGGTTTTTTATTAAAACTACAATTTTTAATTAAAAAATATAAATCTATATTGATTATAATTTGTTATTGTTTTTTTAATAATTATTTATTTTTATTCTCTAAAATTAAAAAATATTATTTTTTTAATTTAAAAAAAAAAAAAATGAATATATTAGAACTTTAATATTATTATTTTAAATTAATTTAAAATATTATATTGCAAAAGCTAATTGTGGGGAAAATATATAATGTATATCTTTGTTTTGCGTAGTGTAAAATTGATATTGTTATTTATTATACAAAGTAAAGATTTATTTTTTTTTTTTTTTCTTTAAATATTTTTTTATTATTATTTTTTATTATTTTATTTATTTTTTATATTAAATTAATTTACCTTATTGTTATTATAATTATAGAAGACACACATAAAAATGATAGTGATAATTTCAAATTTCAAAATTAATATAATTTGAAATAAAAAAAAAACAAAAAAAAAAAAAAAATAAAAAAAATTAACATATATATCCAAAAAAAGTTTTATGTTGTTATTGTCCATAGATATTATGTCTCCCCTATACATTTTATTTTATTAATATATTTATATGCATATATATTAATATAGTTTTTGAATCAAACATATGAAACATGCACAAAAAAAATTTAACCCAACCACTAAAATAAAATCAATAACCCCCACATAGATATTTTTTATTTATTTTGAATATAAATACAAAAAACACACATATACACACAGACAGTACTAACATACAGTTGAGAACAAAATCAAATATTATTTATATTTACCTATTTATAATCTCATTTAAAAAATGAATTGAAAAAATAATAAAATTCATAATAAAAATAAAAAAATGGTAAAAAAATAAAAAGAAAAAAAAAAAAAATAAAAACAATATCATTTTGTCAACTTTAAATGATATATATTTTTTATACGAAATAAAAACACATTAAGCAGTTGGGTGTGTTTTGTGTGTATGTGATGTGTGTTTTTTTTTGATATGCTTATATTTTTTTATTCAGTTGTGTGTGATTGTGGTGGGTTTATTTTTAGAATTTCATAAGAAAAAAAAAAAAATATAACTTGCTATTAAAAAAAAACCACAAAAATATTTGTAATTAAACTAAATCTTCAAGAATCTAACTACAATAACAAAAAAATAAAAAAAAAAAAAAAAATATTTTTATTGGGAATTTTACGATCAAAATCTATTTTTAAAACAATATTGTTCAACTCTATTATTTTATTTTTTAATTGTAATTTGGGGGTGTTTAATGATTTTGATTGTATTTTTATTAGAATCAAACTTTTTAAAATAAAACTAAATTAATAAATCTTGAGATTATTTGAAAATAAAATGGTTTGGTTTCTATTTTCAACTTTAATACTTTATTAATTATTTTTTTATTTTTAATTTAAATTTAAATTTTATTTTAAATTTAATCTATTAAAATTTTAATAAGAATAATTAATAGAGTATTAAAGTTGAAAATTGAAACCAATCAAAATCAAAATCAAAACTATAATTATATAAAAAAAAAAAATAAAAAAAAAAAACTAATAAATAATGAAGTAATTTTTATTTTATTTTATTCAAAAACTATTATTATTATTATTATTCTAAATATTTAATATATTATAGAATCTTTATTAAAGGTTACATTTCAAATACTCAAACAATAAAGAAAAAAAAATATATTTGTTTTAATTTTAAATCATTATACAAGCTTATATAAATAACAAGAAAGATCTTGAAAAAATATCATTATTATTAGATTGAATTTTAATTTTAATATAAATTATTTAAAAATTCTTCAGTAATTATTATTTCTTTATTTTTAAAAAAAATCTTTTTTAAATACAAAGGGTGATGAAAAATGAAAAGATTAAACAGTTCAAATTATCTTTTTTATTTTTTTATTTTTATTTTTATTTTTTTTTATTTTTTATAAACTTCCTTAAAAAAAAAAAAAAAAAAAAATTAATTAATAAGAAAAATTTGCTGATAAATATTTTTTGATACTTTTGAAAAAAATAAAAAATAAAAAAAAAAAATAAAAAAAAATATTTTTTTTTTATTTTATTAAATTTTTTTTCATAATAAGTTTAATTTACTCAATACATAAATAATAATATTCTCTTTATTTACTTTATTATTAATTGTTTTATAAAAAAAGAAAAAAATAAAATAAAAAATAAAAAAAAAAAAAAAGTAAATATCTTTTCAGTACATCAAAAAATAAAAAATAAAAAATACACATCCCAAAAAAATGTTTAAAAATGAAAGACCCGTGGATATAGGTATTCTGGCAATGGATATGTATTTCCCCAAAAACTATGTAAACCAAACTGATTTGGGTAAGCTATTAACATTATGGTGATAATAATAATAATAATAATAATAGCAAGTTTTTAATAATATTACTTTTATTTCTATAGAAATTTATGATAAAGTTTCAAAAGGAAAATATACAATCGGACTTGGACAAAATAATATGGCATTTTCAGGTGATAGAGAAGATATAGTATCAATGGCAATGACATCAGTTAAAATGTTAATGGAGAAATATAAGATTGATTACAATATGATTGGTAGATTAGAGGTTGGAACAGAGACTATCATTGACAAATCGAAATCAGTTAAATCAGCATTAATGCAACTATTTCAGGATAATGGCAACAACACATCCATTGAAGGTGTAGACACAATGAATGCATGCTATGGTGGAACCAATGCGCTTTTTAATAGCGTTCAATGGATAGAGTCATCCTTTTGGGACGGCAGGTATGCATTGGTGGTGTGTGGTGATATAGCAGTATATTCAGTAGGACCTGCTAGACCTACAGGTGGTGCAGGTGTAGTATCAATGCTAATTGGACCAAATGCACCATTAGTTATGGAAACATCATTACGTGGAACTCATATGGAAAATGTACATGACTTTTATAAACCAGATTTAACAAGCGAATATCCCTATGTAGATGGCAAATTATCAATTGAATGCTATCTCAGAGCCTTAGATAAGTGTTATGAGCAATTTAAGAAACGTTATGAACAATTAAATCCAAATAGAAAGTTCTCAATCGACCACTATGACTATTTTTGTTTCCATTCCCCATATAATAGATTGGTCCAAAAATCATATGCCAGATTAAAATACAACGAGTTTTTAAATGACCCAGATAATCAAAGATATAAAGACTTTCTTCCATTCAAAAATTTATCGACAGGAAAAGACTCTTATATCAATCCAAAACTTGACCAAACTTCATTAAAACTATCTCAAGACGATTTTAAAAAAAAAGTTGACCCCTCAACACTCTTATCAAAAGAACTGGGTAATAGTTATTGTGGTTCTGTATACAGTGGTATTTTATCATTATTATCAAATGTTAATAATTTAGTAAGTATAATTTTTAATTTTTTAATAGTGCGCAGTAATTATTTACTAATTGCAATATTCACTATTATATAGCAAGATAAAAGAATTTTAGTGTTTTCATATGGATCAGGTTTAGCATCATCATTTTTTTCATTTAGAGGCAACAGTAGTAATAATATAAATAAACAATTCCCATCAACACGAAACATTGGAGAAATTGCAAATATAAAAGAACGTTTACAAAATAGAACAAAAATAAACCCTGACGAATTTTCAAGAATTTTAGCAACCAGAGAGAAAAGTCACCTCTCTATTATTAAAGGTGCTCATACACCAATAGATACATTAGATAATATTTCAAATGGCACTTTTTACTTGGAAAAAGTCGATGATAAATTAATTAGACACTATAAACTAAAACCAATTTTAAATTCAAACTTGTAATTTAATACACCATCTGCATAACAGAACAAAATATTTATAGAAGTAACAATACACAAAATAATATATAATAAAACTACACATAATAATATTAAATTAATAAATTTAATTTTATTTTTTTCATTTAAAAAATTATTTATAAAACTATTTTTGTATTTATTAAGATTAGAGTTAGAAAAAAAAAAAAAAGGATTTTGTTTTTTTGTATTTTTTTTTTATATTTTTTATTTTTATTCTTTTTTACAGTTTATTTTAAAAAAAAAAAAAAAGTTTTTTATTTATTATTGTTATTATTATTATTTGTAATGAATTGTTCACCATTCAAAACCCAATTGGATCTACTTCTTTTTGCTTGTGTATATTGTTTTTATTACTATTACTGTCACTTTCATCCTCGTTTAAAACATCACTTGAACAACTGTGGCTACCATCAAAGTCTGAATCTGAATATTCAGATGAGGAAAAGTTTAAATCGGAACTATGTACATCTGAAGACTCTTCATTTTGTGATTGATTGGAATCTTCTGAAAACTCTTCTCCACTGCTACTATTGTGCTCTTTATTTATCTTTTTATCATGATTTTTATTATCATTGCCATTACTGCTATTAGCACAACTCCCTCCACCTATTATTTTACTGTTTTTGCTAATATTATTATCATCCTTTACTATTTGAACCTCATCATCGCTACTAATACTTATTACATTATTATCTTCTTCCTTTTTTTCTGAGCTATTACTGCCACTATCTTTATTGCTATTATTATTATTGTTTTTATTATTGTTGATATTGCTTTTTAATTGTTTATTATTTATAAATATTTCTGAATTTGGTGGAGTTTTAACTAGAAGATAATCAATTGAAGATAATTCAGGTAATAAACCAGACTCTTCTAATTGACGTGCATATTTTACAACATTGGCTCTTTGTCTCGCAAATTGTTCAACTGAACGCTCTTCAATAATCCTTGAAAACAAAGTTGGGAATTCTGAGCGGGTATATTGCTCTTTGACCATATCTTGAGATAAAAGCTTCAAGAAACTTGATGAGAAAATACCTCTTATAAAGACAATATTAAAACTATTTTTTCCGACATCATTTTCAGTGTCATGGGGATCGATTAAAGTTAAACTGCAGCCAATAGCTTTAGACTCTTCTTTTCTGAAATAATAACCACCATGCTCCAAACTGATACCATAAAGTTGATAATTGAATACAAGTCCATAGAGCTCAAAGAATTCGACCAACATTAATCCATAGTCTGTGGCATCTCCTGCATGTTTGTATTCTTTTCTTGCTTTGCTGTGTGGTGATAATTTATGATTTTGTGGAACATGTCTAAGCTGAATATAACTAACTACCATTAAAGCCAATGCATATGACCCAATGCCGCCAGTATATGTTTCGTTTACGTGGTTTTGTTGTAAAAAGAATTTTAAAACCAATAATAAAACCCTCATTGATTTATATTGCTAAAGTAAATAAAAAAAAAAAAAAAAAGAATTAATATTAATTATAATTATTATTATTAAAATAAATGTATATTTAATTTAATAGACTTACTTTTAAAAAACTTTTTACAACTTGAGTGTTTTCAATACCACTTGGTGTATCAAAACAAATATCGATATTATATTGTGTATGAACTGATGTCATTTTTATAATTGGAATTTTGGCACCAGAAATTAAACGTACATTGTAGAAAGAGCTTTGATGATTTTTGATTAATATTGAATGAAAATCACGAATTGGATTTTGGAATGAATATCTATCAATACCTTCGTTAATATCAGAGATTTGAATATCGATATCGCTGCTTGGTATGAATAAATTGGATGAAAATGAACCAAATATCACAACCTTTGCTTTTGGCCAGTTTTCTTTTACAATAGTTTCGATTTCTTTGATTATCTTTTGTCTAACACGGATTTCATATTCGTTTGGTTCTAACCATTGGCAAAAGAGTTCAATCTCTTTATTTAGTGTTATATTTTGTAAATCTCTGCCACTATAATTATGACCTTGTAACCATAATGGTACGTGCTTCCTATTTTTTTCGTTTCTACCCCTATTATTATTATTATTGTTGTTGTTGTTGTGGTATTTGTTTTTTGAAAAATTAAATGCCCGCACTCCTTATATGAAAAATTACTATTATTATGGTTGCTATATGAATTATTATGTAAAGTATTATTATTATTATTACTATGTATAGGTATAAAGGATCTAGTAGTTTCCATTTGATTAGGTATTATTGAATTATTAAATGCTGGTTTTTTATCATTTAAACTTAATGGTACAAAATTTTGTTCACTCGATATGGTTGATTCCCTTGACATTTTAAGTGATTCATGTAAACTAATTGGTTGTGGCTGTGGTTGTGGTTGTTGCTCTTGATTATTTATTATTGGTGCAGTAGCTGTAGGTTGTGAATGAGGTGACTCCATTGGTTGTTCTGAATTCTCTTCCTTTTGGTGGTTTTTGGTAGTAATGATTTCTTCTTTTTTTATTTGTTGGTCAAAATCTGTTGATATTTTTTGATGTGTAGTTTTTGGTTTGTTGGTTAAAACTTCAATTGGTGTGTTACTATTTGGTGAATTTGGTTTTTGATATTTCTTTGGATAAGATGGTGATTTAGAGTATGAACTACTACTACTACTACTACTATTGCTATTACTTTCTTTATCCCTAGTGTTGTAATGGTTACTATTTATTGGTAAAGGGGTAGAAGATGTTGATATTGAAGATGTTGTAGTAGATGATTTATTTGAAGATGATGATTTTCTATCTCGTGATTGTTTATTTTTCTTCTTTTTACTTTTACTATGATTTTTACTGGTATCTTTATCTTTGCTATCTTGTGATGGTAAAATTGGTTGATTAGAATTATTATTATCTTGTGTTAGCTGTGGTTGAGATGATTGTATATTTTTTTGTTGTTGTTGCTGTTGTTGTTGTTGTTGTTGATTTAAGGTAATATCAGTTGGTATGTTACCAACGAGACCCGAATTTGGTGGTGATGAGGATGGTGATGAGGATGGTGAGGTAGAAGCACTATTTTGACGAGGCTTTTTTCTTTTTAACATGGTATTTAATTGGGAAACTGGTTCAGATATAGTTGACACTATTTTTAAACTATCGTTATTGCAACTATTATAAATATTGCAATCACTAATCCTACTACTATTTGTATTATTATTCGTTATAATTATTGTTGATGTGATATTATCTTTAACTACCCTGTCTTTGCTTCTATTAAAGTAATAAAAATATGAAACAAATATAATTGACAGATTGAAGGTTGAAAATAATATAAAAAATGTTATAATTAGTATCTCAATCTTTTGGGTTATTATTTTTAATAATTTTTTAAAAAAAAAAATTTTAATTTTTTTAATTTTTTTTTTTTTTTTTGTTTTTTTTTTTTGAAAATTATTTAGTTTTCCTGGTGATTGCTATGGGTGTAAAGATGTGAGTGCGAAAAATATGGTGAATTTTATATAAATAATGTATAAATAAACTTTATTTTTCTTTTTTTAAAATTGTACATAAAAATATTATATAATTTAAAATTATGTTTAAATTTTTTTTTTTTTTATTTTATTTTTTTTTTTTATAAAATTCTAATAAAACAAAATTTATGATAAATAAAAAAAAACAATTAAATAAAAAAAATATTTTTGAAAAAAAAAAAAAAAACTATAATTTGATTTTGATAAAAACACAATGAAAATAAATTGGAAAATTAATTTTAAACTATAATATAGTATTAGTTAAACATAAATAATATATTTATATATTTCTTGATACTGTATTATTATGTTTACTATACTATATTATGCAATATAATATAAGTACCAATTATATTAAATTGAAACAGCAACAAAATTATATTATGGTTGTTTTTATTTAAATTTTTAATTTAATTTTAATTTAAAAAATAAAATAAAAAATTTTATCTCTAATACTTTTTGATATATTAAAAAAAAAAAATAATAAAAAAAAAAAAATAAATAGGACAACTAAGTGGCTGGTGTAATTATTATTATTTTTTAATTTAATTAAATTGAGTGATATTATTTTATAAAAAAAAATATTATTTTTATAAAAAAATAAAATATTATAAAAATTTTATTATTATTATTATTATTATTATTATTATTATTATTATTATTATTATTATTATTATTATTATTATTATTATTATTATTATTATTAATATACTAGAGGAAGGGTTGTTTAATTTAATAATTTAAAAATTATGTATGTATAAAAAGAACAATAATAAGAGAAACAGAAGAAGAAGAAATATTTAAGTGTATATTATTACTTTTGTGTGGTGTATGTGTTTTAAATTATTTTATAATACTGTTGGTTGTTTTAAATTAAAACGAGATATTTTAAAATTGTATTTATATACATATGTATATAAATATAGAGATTTAATAATTAATTGGTATTATATTAAATTATTTGAATATGAAAAAAATTAAAATAGGGATTAAAAATAAATAATACCAAATAAAAAAAAAATTAAAAAATTTAAAAAAAAAGGGTAGAATGCAATATTATAAAGAAATTATAAAATATATAAAATGTGAATGTGGTGAATGATTTCTATGTGGTACAACTGCTATTTCTATATAAAAAGAAACATAATTATATAACTTTATTATATTATCTCTGATTTAATTTAGAATGTGATATTTTTTCTTAATATAATTTATTATTAATTTGGATAAAAATACAAAAAAATAAATAAATAAATTAAAAAAAAAAATTTAAAATTTTAATTTGAATATAAAAAATATTAATAAGGAGAGAGAAAGTAATAATGTAATTTCTTTATACTCTGTCCTGTGTGCACCAACATACAACAGTGTGTGTATTAAAGTACGAATAGAATGTGTATTTATGTGTGGATTAATTAAAATGGCTCTACTTTGGGGAATAATGATGTGTGATTATTGATGTATATAGAACGGTATTTAATATGAAAAAATATTTATTTTAAATTAAATTATTAAAATAAACATTATAACTGCAACTTTATTGTTAATTAAAACACATACACCCACTTTTTAATTTATTAAAATTTAAAATAACAATAATAGAAAAATATTATAAAAAAATAAAAAATTCTATATAACAATACAATGATTATTATTACTGAATTATACTATTATAAGGAAAATTAATATAA